GCCTCCCCAGCCACATGGAACTGTGAGTCCATTAAACTTCTTTTTCTTTATAAATTACCCAGTGTAGGGTGTGTCTTTACCAGCAGCGTGAAAACAGACTAATACACATGCCCACTGCAGGGGTGGGCTTCATGGCTTCTCATCTCTCTCAGCCAGCTGTTTCCATGATGCTTAGAAATTGTCCCAATTAGGATGAACTGAGCTCAGCAAACTCCAGGAAACTCCTAAACTAATTTGAAGCCTGTGAAGTGAATCCGATGGGATGCCTGTAACTTAGTTGATTAAGGAAGAAAATATACTTCGGGTCTCCTTGGCCCTAATGGGGTATACACAGATCTTCTCAAATGAGTTATCTTGGAGAGAAAACGTGATTCACAAAAATGATTTCAACACTTGTGGGGAGAACTAGGCACGAAGGAAGATGTGATGAAGTTTGCATAACTTGAGAGGGAGGAGTAGAGCTATTATTGGTCCTAAACATAGATGAGACTGTCCTAAAACTGGTTACAGAATCCCCAAAATGGCTGGCACTCTCCGAGGACTGTCTTTAGGGCCCTGCAAAAGGCAAGTTATTTGAATTCAAAAAGATTTCAGCAGATGCAAGGCCCATGGCTGAAGGATGATAGCAGAAAAGCAGAATGTCATCTGAGTCTCAGCTCAGTGCAATACGCATCCTTAGACCCTTGCAATGCCTGCCTGCAGCAATTCAGTGCTTGTTGGTTAGAAGGCTTTCCAGATGGGAGAGGCCCTGGTTTAAGCCCCTTACCTGGAAGGGGGTAATAAGGTTTAGTCTCTCATTAACCACACAACAGAACCAAGTATCTCCTGTAAGTCGAGCCCTTTGCTTGTTACCAGGGATGGTGATGTGGTGCCCACAGCTCAATGGGAATGACAGATGGGGGTGATGGTGGGATTGCAGTATTGTCATGGAATCCTTGGGGTGTCACTTTGCCAGCCTCTGTGGAAACTTCTGTGGTCAGCAGTACCTTCTGCTGCTGCTGCTGCTGCTGCTGCCTCTGCTCCTGCCACCAGCCTGGATCCCACACCTGCCAATGGTGAGCCAGGCGGAGAGTGGTGAGGGACGTGTGAGTAAGCGCAGAGCCGTGTCCAGCCACTGCACACAGCCAGGCATGCCGGCTGCTGTGGCAGGGTGGGCAGCTCCAGGTGCCAACACAGGTGCTGGCTCCCTGAGAGGATGTGGCTGGACCAGATGTATCACATGCGGCTTCCGTTGTGGGCACCTGTGTCTGGACAAGGAAAATGTGGTGGTGCCCGGAAGGTTGTAGACACCAGGAACCACAGAGCCCCAAAGAGGGTGTCACAGCCCTGGCCTGGGCTCCCTGAAGGGCCACAGCTCTTCTTTCCTCATTGCCCATGATGTGGAGAGTCGGGGGGCATGTTTCAGCCCCGTTTGTGTTACAGCTCTTTCAGTCTCATCATTTGGCAGGTCTTGAGTTCTTGTCCCATGTCCAGGAAGATACATGGAAAACTTGAGGGTGAGCAAGGCAGAGAGGAGCTTCATGAAGTGACAGAACAGCTCTCAGGAGACCCGAAGTGGGTAGTTCCTTCCCACAGCTAGTGGTCACCACATCTGTGTGAGTCTGGCTGAGTCCTGGGTTTTTAGGGGCTCAGAAGGGAGCAAGTGTGTGCTGATTGGTCCATGGGCAACCATGGGTGGGCCCAGAAAAATCACCACAAGTTCTCACTCTGAGGGCAGACTCTACCCAGAACGGACAGCCTAGCCCCCAGGTTTCAGGCCAGCCCTGGCTTGGAGATGGGGCTTCACCAGGGACCCACCCCTTTCCACCCAGGAGCCTGTCTGCCTTCAGCCACCATCAACAGGTCATCCATGGCACCAGGCTGTTTGTGCCAAGGGGCACCTGCAGGCCTGTGATGAGCCACCCTCAGTCCCCACTTGACCTCCCTCTTGTGCTAGTCAGCACCCAAGGTCCGGAGGGGGCTGAGGTGGCAAGTGGCTGGTGTGGTCAGTTCTGCCCCCAGGGTATACACACCTGGCTGGGTTGTGACAGGGCCCAGGCTCAGCCACAACTTTGCTCTGAAATTGGAGTGGGTGCCAGGAACAGGGAGAGGCCAGGGAGCAGGAGGAGATACTTCAAAGCCTGTGGGTATATGGGGGTTTTCCCAGGCCACCAACAGTACAGAGATGCCCCAGTCTGGAGCTGTGGCTGGGCAGCTGTAGCTGTGCCTGGGAGCATGGGGCTCTCGCCCCTTTAACTTGATAGGGGGTGGGGCTTCCATCTGTTCCTGGCCCCCCGCCAGCTCCATGAAGCCTGCAGCCCTGGCTGCACCTCACCCACGGCAGCTGGAGTCCCTCTGCTCCAGACAGACTACCCCCACCATCAGTATCGGCCACCTGCTGTTGTGTCCCCCAAATTCGTATGTTACAGCCCTCACCTCCAGTGCACTGGTATTTGAAGGTGGGGCCTTTGGGAAGTGATTGGGTCCTGAGGGTGGTGCTGCCCTCAGGGGTGGGTTTAGTGCTTTGGAAGAACTGGAAGAGAGGGTAGAGCTCACCAGCCTCCTGGGTGAGCCCCATGCCCTTCCCCATGGCATCCAGCCAGCAGGGTGGCCTCGGCCACCCTTTTTCAGTGTCTCCCATCTCTCTGGGCCCAGCTGCTCTGATTTGCCTCCTTAATGACCACAGCCCTTCCTGCCACATGTCCCTTCCCTATGCTCTTCCCTGACTCAAATGTACTTCCATCCTCCCACCCAGCCTTGTCCTCCAGGTAAAGGATGCTCCTGAGTTCTAGCATCAGCCTCCCAACTTCTTCTGCTTCTTCTGCTTCCACTTCTGTGCCACCAAATGTCCTCTCCAAAGCACACTGACTACTGAAGATTCAACCATTCGCTTTTCTGCATGGAGAGTAAAGCCCTTCACAATCAACTTGTCACCTGAGATGAGCCATGCTCCCAGTACTGACATCATTGGCAGTTCCCTCCTATGTCAAACCTGAGCTGGCCCTATGATATGATGGTGGTGTTAATCCATTTTTCATTGCTATAAAAGGGTGTCTGTGACTGGATATTTTATCAAGAAAAGAGGTTTATTTGGCTCACAGTTCTGTGGACTGTACAAGCATGGTGCTAGCATCTGCTCAGCTTCTGGTGAGGCCTTAGGAGCTTAAAATCATGGCAGAAGGCAAAGGGGGAGCCGGTGTGTCACATGTGAGAGGGAGCAAGAGAGAGTAGGGGGAGATGGCAGAAAAGAGTGATGAAATCACTCATTACTGTGGGGAGGGCACCAAGCCATTCATGAATAATCCACCCTCATAATTCAAACACCTTCCCACCAGGCCCCACCTCCAATATTGGGGATCACATTTTAACACGAGATTTGGAGGGGACAAATATCCAATCCATATCACTGGTGGAAAAGCGGGGAAGCAACACTGCACCAGCTCTGAGCCCAAGCCTTAAGAAAGCATGACACATCCACTCCTGGGACCGGGGAGCTAGCAGGTAAGAAGTCCTGCTGGAGAGATCACATGGAGAGAGAGGAGGCACCTTTGTTACCTCAGAGCCCAGACTACCAGCTGTTCTTACCAAGGTCCCAGACATTAAGTGAAGCCATCGTGGGTGTTCCAGACCGCGCTGCCCACTGACTGTAGCCCCATGAGAGACCTCAACTGCAAAGACAGAAGAGCCACCCAGCTGAGCCTAGTCTAACCGCAGACTCATCAGCCACTGTTGCTTTACATCACTGAGTTTTAGGGGGGCTTGCTGCACAGCAACAGATAAGCAGAATGGGATGGAAGCCTGTCATACTGTGGACATCTCCTTCTTCTCCTCCCCTTCCCTGGCCTTGGGCCAGATAAGCCAAACCTCAGCCCAGGCTTCTTGCGAGCTAGTCATGTCCTATGTCTAGGCCTAGGCCATCCCAAGCTCCTGCTGCCCTCTAGCAGGAGCCTCTGCTTTTTGGGGGAGCTGTGCTGCTCCCTTACTCTTGTCCCTGCTTTCTCCCCAACTCCTTTCTGCAGGAGAGTGGTGACTTTCCTGGGGGTGAGGGTGGGGTCAGGGGAACAAAGAATGCCCATCCCTGGCCCTGCTGGGTCTTTCTCCTGGATCCTGCTTCCACACAGGAAAACACATTCAGTCCAGGTCCCAGGGCCATGCACACAACCCTCACCCCACACAACTGTGAAAAGCCTCATCCATACGTCAAAGCCCGTATCATTTGCTAATTGATTCATTAATTCATTGATTCATTTGTTGATTCCGTGATCACCCAACAAACATTCCTGGAGCATTCTCTGCAGATGGCCTGTGCAGAGCTTGGATGTGACTCATCTCTAGGTCACCCACCCATCATGGAGCCTGGTACACAGCCAGCACTTGATGAATGCCAACTGTAGACTAAAGGAGGTGGCCTTGGGTGGATATTGCCCTCTGAGACTCAGTTTCCTCATCTGTAAAATGAGGGTGCAGATAAACTCTGTTTCAAAAAGGACTGAGCCAAGGAACCCGCCTCATCAGACATCTGTGCGAGATTAGAGCAGCCAATGACTCATTTGCATAACAAGACTTGCGGGCAATTAAATGCTTCCCAGCTGCTGGGAAGCTGCAGAGGCCAGGTCTTCAGGGCTCCTTCATCTCTTCCCATTGTTTGTTTGTGTCTGGGCTGCTGGGAGCAGGAGAGGCACGACTGTAATGGTGCCCTGAGTGCATTTGAGAGGAAGGAAATGATGTCTGGCTGCATGCCTTTATCTAAAGTTGACTGTCTTCTTTTCAGTTGCTTTCTCCAGAGCTCTAGGTAGCCCCAGGCTACACCCTCTCCCGCAGAAGCTCTCCCAGCAGGCACTGGGTCCCTTCTTTCCTGGGTGGGGAGGGGTATGGGGGCGGGAGCAGCCTTTGGCTCATTCTCTTTTGTCTTTAGAAGGGGGAGGGCACTGCCTGTGAACATCGTGAATGACCAAAAAATGTCAGGAAAGGAGACGAAACTAAACCGAAGGAGACTAAAGAGAAATGACAATGACACGTAATGCGTGGTCCTCAATTAAATCCTGATTTAAACAAACAGGTTAATTCTATCTAAAAGATATAATTTGGAACAATTGGGGAAATTAGAACATGGATGAATATTAGATCATTGCTGTCTTAGCTGAGGCTGCCATGACGGAAGAGCAGAGCTGAGACTTCAGCAGCAGACACCTAGTTCTCCGGGTCTGAGGCGGGATGTCTGAGATGAGGCCAGCTGCCAACCGGGCTCAATTCCAGCGAGAGCTGTCTTCCAGGCTTCCAAACCAACCAGTCCTCACTGATGGAAAGAGAGAGAGAGCTCTGGTCTCATTCTCTTCCTATAAGGGCACTAATCCCATCATGGGACCCACCCTCATGCCCTCGTCTAAGCCTAATCACCTTCAAAGATGCCCCCTCCTGCTATCATCACACTGAGGGGCAGGACTTCAACATATGAATTCAACACATTCAATCCCTAACAATCACAGAGAATTGAGAAGAAAAGGAAATCTTAAGCCTCCCAACCATCTGAGCAGACCCCCTCTTGGCCAAGGGGACCCCAGAGGAAACTTGGGAGCTGAGTTCCCACCCACAGTGGGACAGGAGGTCAGACCTGCCTCATTGTATGCCCCCCTCCCTCATTAACTGCCACTGGGTTTCCTCCCTAAGGGCTGCAGAGAAACCAGCTCTTCCAAAAGGCTCCATCCTGCTTCCAACCAACGCTTGACCTGCCCCCACCCCGCCCCATACCCCTTACAGGTTTGACACAGCAACTCACCTCTGTTCCTTCCTGATAGGAGACCACGGACCACAGAGAACTTCTGGTCAGTCTTCAGGGGATGCATGGTGAGGGTTTTCATGTCCTTCACTTCACCTTTTCACATCAGAGGGTAGAAAAGTCCACCCTCAGATTGTGCTGACACTGCCATGTCTTAAGCATGAGTGCCATGGAGAGGCAGGAAGCTCAAGTGCACACGCACACATTTCTCCTCTCATAAATATTCATGACTCCTCCTGTAGTTTACTGGATATGCATATTTGGCCACCCTACTCAGCATAAACCCTTGTCTAATTCTTCCCAATCTCGAAACGTCTGTTTCCTGCTTCTGACCGGAGGCTATGCTTCCCAGCCTGTCAGAAGGGCTGCCCAGCTGGCTGCTACCATTTACGAGAAACAAAGCTCTCCTTTCCAAACTTAGAAGTCTAACCATTCTTCAGTTGACAGTATCAATGTTAAATTTTTCAGGTATGGGATTTTTCAGAAAACTAAAGTAGAAATTTTCAGGTTAGTGGAGTTAGGTAGGAGAGTGTCCTGGGCTTTAGCGGATACTTACAGGAAACTCACTTTCAAAATGTATGTGGACAGGTAGAAAGCCATGTAGCAACACATTCACCATCCATGAATTGAGGAGAAGAGTAGATAGCATTTATTCTATAGGTTTGAAATTTTTCAAAAGAACAAGTCAGATAAAAAGAAGTGGGGGTCTACCTGGAGTTAGATTATGAGTTGGTTAATTCTCCCATCACCCCCAGGGCCTATGTGTAACAGAGCCCCTCACCCACTTTTCTCCCCAATCAGAGTATCTGGGGCTGTCCAAGGGTACAGGACCCTGCAGAGAGTGGGGCTTAGGCAGGGAAAGTGGGAAAGAGACACTGGAGGACCTGAACTGGAGGCCAGCATGGATTAAGTTGGGTTGGCCTGGCTCAAGGACAGACAGAAGTGGGCCCCTGTGACTCTCTCTCCTGCAGGCCAACCTACAGCTGACCCCAGCCCAGGCCAGCAGATTCCTGCAGACTCAGGGGCTGAATGAAGGCGTATTTATGCTTCTGAGGTTCAGGGCTGCTTGTTAGGCAGCATTATGATGCCTGTAGGTAACTGGTACACAGTCCCCTCTGCTTCCCAGGTCACGGACACTGCCACAGAGCTCCACCTGCCCACCCAGGGCAGGAACTTGGTGGGGGAGGTCTGGTGCCCTGCCCGGCCCCCAGCCCCTCAGCCCCTGCCTCCTTCACACAGCTCCTCACTTGCCATGCCTCCTGCTAATGTTTACTGAGCACCTGCTCTGTGCCGCAAGTGCCCGGTGCCAGCACTGTTCTCTACACAACCTCACTCCATGCCTATTGGTCTTGGGAGGGTGGGCGTATCATCTCCTGAGTGACACAGCAGACGGACAGAGGTGTGGGGCATCTGTTTCTCTGTAGGAATGCCATTCTTTCTCCCAACAGCAATGATGAGCAGGGGTGGACGAGGTCTCATAAACCCTCCTGCCTCTCAGCCTCAAAGGGCACTGGGGACTAGCACAACACTGACGGGTGGTTCACACCACAGTGCAGGCTCCCCTGTAGGGAACTGTCCAGGGTGTCTGCACATCTCTCTTCTTAGAGATCTGAGCGTTTGGAAAGATTAGAAATCACAAACTAAAATAGCTAGAGCAGGTATTTCTAGGGGGTGGGGTTACAGGTGATTTTTATTTGCTTTCTCATATTTATGTGTGTTTCCAGTATTCTCTGCAATGAACATGGTACTTTCTTAATCAGAAACGAAACGACGGTTTTATAGAGAGCAGGGAGGGAGACTTTGCACGGTGCTCCAGCCTGGGGTGGGGGGGGCAGTCTGGGGAGGACAGCACCCAAGACATTCTGTCCTTGAGTCAGGCTTCTGGCCATGGCAACCCAAGTTTAGGGAGAAGAGGAGCTCTGGGGAAGAAGCCTGAGGGTCGAGGCTTCAGTCCTGGCTCTCGCCTGCCCAGATTGGGAGCTGGGGCAGGGACCATGGGTCCTCAGCCTCGGATCCCCCTCTGTAAAATGAGGGGTTCATCCCACCCTGCACAGACTGCCAGAGGGTCCTGATCACCCACAGAGGTGCCAGGGGGTCCTGATCACCCAGGGAGGTGCCAGGGGGTCCTGACCACCCGTGGAGGTGTGGCCCCCACACCTCACTTCAGGAGCAGCAGAAGCCAGCACCAGTCACTGTGGGCTTTCTGTCCAAGCACTGCCGCTAGCATGCGGGAGGGAAGCTAGTCTCACCCGTCCACCAGCCTGGCTTCGGCTACACAGACAGCCCAGCACCTATTGCTAAGAGACAGCAGGGCAACGCTTCCCAGGGTTGTGCTGTGGTGTTGGAGCCGAGTTAATGAGATAAATAAAATAAACACCAGAATAGAAATGTGTGCACAGCCGGGAACCGGAGAGAAGTGGGTTCTCTCGGTGCTGAGCGCCGGCTGCAGAATCTGGAAGGCTGCGAGGCTCCCATGCGTCTGCAGGCTTGCATTTGAATCATGGATGATTGTAGTGGGCTGGGCTGCTCCCTGGGCAGGCGTCGGGTAGGGAGAGAGACCAAATACCCCGTGTTTTATTCTCTTCTTCCACAATGTGGTTACTTGCTCCCTCTGCCAGAGAGGAAGGGACCTTGGTGAGTATTTGGCCTCACCTCTTGTGACAGATGGGGAAACTGAGGCCCAGGGAGCTGGTGGGACTTCTCCCTGAACAGTGGACAGAGTCAAGTGAAGAGCTGGTGCTGGAGTCAGGTGGAGATCGTTTGAAACCCAATCCAGCCACTTCTCAGCGGTGTGATCTTGACCTAGCCCAGAGGGTAAATCACACAACGGCTCTGAAGCCTGGGTTTGAAGTTAGAATCAATGAAAGGCCACCAATGCCCAATGCCCAGCCCTGGGGGTGCAAGATGGGTGCACACAATTCTTTACCGCCTTTTCCAGGTCATGGAGCCTCAGGGCCCTGACCCTCTCCACTGGCAGGCCCTCCTGCTTGGCTCCTCACCCACCTTCCTCCTTCAGGAGTCCTTAGTGGTGTCTGAAAGGGACATTTTCCAAATAGACTCCTGCACTCTCAAAGTAGCGCATGGCCAAACGTGAGTGCCCATTCGCTGAGTGCCCTCCCGTTCGAGGGGTGCTCAGACCTCAGCGCCTGCGCCCCTTCCCGCCTCCACTCCTGTCCACTGGCCTCCCAGGAGTTCCCCCAGAGACCAGGCGTGTGCTGCTTTCTCAAGACCTTTGCACCTGCGCCTCTGCTGCCCCCAACAGCCCCATGATGCCCTTGCTCTCGCCCCTCAGTTGTTGCCCTGGCAGGGCCACCTCCCGCTGTGCTAGCACCCACACTTCCCCAGCCCAACTCCTGCCCAGGAACCCACACTGCCCACCGTGTCCCCGCTCTCGGGGTGTCCTCTGTCCCGTGGGGCAGGCTGCCTCGCCCGTTTTATTCACTGCTATCTCTCAAGTATCTAGAACAACATCAGTGCATTGTAAGTGCTCGATGAACAGTCTCCCATTTGAAAAAAATATTGACACGGACGAAGGCAAATGTAAGGAGTGGAGTGTGGTGTGTGAGCTGAGCCCAGGCAGGTGCCCTGCATCTGTAAACGCCAAGAGGGACTCGGAAGTGGAGGATCATCAGTCACAGGGACCCGAAAACGCCCATGTTCTAGCAAAATTAAAACAACATGGGACAGAGTTTTAGAATCAAAGGACAACGAATATCACCCCAGGCACTTATTGCAGGAGTGAGGGAGCTGGGTGCCTGGGTTCAAAGCCACCTCCTGTCTGCAGGACCCAGGCAAGATTTTTGGAGTGTTAGTGCCTCTGCTTCCTTATCTGAGACAGGCATGATAATCCTCTCCTTTTCAGGGCTGCCATAGGGGCAGAGCCAAGTCTGTCTGTATGTGAAGGGCCCAGGCCACCATCATTGCCCACCCTTGAGACTGGGAGCCCCTGAAGGTTGGGAGCCCATCTGAGTCCTCTGTCCCTGCACATGGCTCTGGGGGAACTGGGCTGGACCCTTCGCCTTCCCTAAAGCAGCACAGCCTCAGCCAGAGTTCATGGTGAGAATGTCCCTTCCAAACCCAGCTCCCAGTTCTCCCCACCGACACGCCTCAGCTCCTCCTCCCCACTGCCTGAATCCTGGGGCTCAAGGGAAGAGAGGTAGGAAGTCTGGGGCCACCAGGCCTGCCCCATCACAGCTGCTGCTCTGCAGGGACTTCCAGGAGAGCAGCAGCCCCGCAGCAGGTCAGTCCTCCTGGATCCTTCTCCTCTGGGAGGTGCAGCAGAGGGAGAAGGGCAGCAGCTGGGGTCCCCTTCCTGAGAGGCCCACGGCTCTCCCAGGCAGGCTCCTTCTGGGCGTCTTCCTTTGACCCTCTCTAGCTGAGAGTAGTTGGTCACCAAGCAGGTGCAGGGCCAGGAGAGGCCACTGGGCAGGGCTATGACCGGAGGGTAACGTCTATCCAAGTCATTCTGCCAAGTTGGGTCAAGGATTTTCTCAAGTGGAGGAGAGACGAAGGGGCAGGGCACACTCCTCTGCTGCTCCCAGCCCCCCTCACAGACTGGATGGCTACGTGCCTGTGGGGGTGCCTTCCTGGGAGAGTATAAAAATAGACTGGAGCAGGAGCTTCAGGGGTGCAGGGTGCAGAGCTGTAGGCATGCAGGTCCATCCACAGGGTGCAGAGCTGTAGGCATGCAGGGTGCAGAGTGCAGGGCTACAGTGCAGGGGTGCAGGGTACAGGGGTGCAGGGTGCAGAGGTGAAGTAGTGCTGGGTGCAAGGGTGCCAAGATGCAGGGGTACAGGATGCAGAGTAACAGGGGTAGAGGGAAGCAGGGGTGCAGAGATGCAGGAGTGCAGGGGTGCAGGGACTGCGAACTGACAACCCTATGTCCTTCCTACCCTTCACCTCTGTCCTCTTGGTTTGCTGAGCATCTTGGGAAACAGATCTTGGTGCCATCCGCTTGGGCGAGTGATGTCATTTCCCTGAGCCTCAGCTCCTTGCTGTAAAAGTGGTGGTTACAGAGTGTGGCTCCGGGGCTGTCAGCATTGTGTCTGGTTGTAATTAGGTATTGATTCAGTAATTTGGGGAATTAATTCAGTAAATCGGCTTGACCTCAGTGTAGCAAAAATAAGAGGATGGAGGGTGGAAAGAGCCTCAACAGCTGTCTGCTTTTCATGGGACAG